GCGGGTAAAGAAGTTAGTCCATGACATTAATGAAACTAATATTAGGATAGGATCTTGGAATATAGGCACTCTCAATGGTAAATTAATGGAATTAGTTGATATTATGATTCATAGGAAAATTAATATCTTATGTATTCAAGAAACTAAGTGGGTGGGAGAAAAGGCTAAGGAGATTGATAATTTAGGTTTTAAACTTTGGTATTCTGGTAAGAGTCGCACTAGAAATGGTGTAGGTGTAATTATAGATAAGAGTTTGAAAGATAATGTTGTAAAAATTAATAGAGTTGGTGATAGAATTATAGCCCTTAAGATTATCATTGATACTAAGATTTTTAATATTATAAGTGTTTATGCTCCTCAAGTAGGTTTAGATTTAGAGTCTAAAGATAAATTTTGGAATGACTTAGAAGAAATTTTGGAAAGATAAATTTTGGAATGACATAGATAAATTTATCTGTCTCAAGTAGGTTTAGATTTCTACCACTCTACCGACATGTCCATAAAAAACCTATGTTTATCCCTCCCTCTCTCTCTCTTCTTCTCTCTCTTTCTCTCTCACTCTCCCTCTCCCTCTCTATCTATTTTCTCTCTCCCCTATCTCTCTCACTCTCCCAATCTCTTAAGAGAGATTGAGTTAGGGAAAAAAGAAATAGAGTGATAAAGGAAGAAAGTGAGAGAGAGAAACATAGTGCAAAATGACATAGAGATAAAAGATCAGAGAGCAAGAGTGTAAGGGATAGGACCTATCTCTCTCCCTACCTCTCTATCACTCATTTTTCTCTCTCTCTCTCTCTTTTTCTGTTTTACTATCTATCTCTCACTTTCCCTCAATATCTCTTTTCCCTTTCCTTCTCTATCTCACTATCTCATATTCTTCCTCTTACCTCATTCTCCACGACTCTTATGCTCTCTAATATTATTATCGTTCTCCATCTCACTATCTCTATCTCATTCTTTGTCTTTTATTATCTCTCCCACACTCTCAATCACTCTTGCTTGCTCATCTCTCTCTCTCTCACTCTATTTATTTCTCTTGTCTCTCTCTTGGCCACATTCTTCCGCTATCTACATTGCTCTCTTACTGACACTCTTCTCTATCCCCCAATTTGATATCTCCTCTTTTCATTCTCTCTCGCTCTCTCTCTCTAGCACCCCCTCCCTCTCTATCTCTCCTTCTCCCACTCTCTCATTATCTCACTATCATTCTCTCTCATAATCCCTTCATGTATTTCATTATTTTCTCTCCCATCTCTCTCTATCTTTCTGTCTCCCCCTATCAATCTCTCTCTACAGCTCATTCTTTTATTCTTCTCTTCTTTTCGCTCTTTCACTCTCCCCTCCCTCCCTCTTGCTATTTTAACCCTCGCACTATTTCAAACCCTTACTTTTCTCTCACTTCTTTATCTATCTCTTTATCTCTGTCTCTTTATCTCTTTATTTTTTTCCCTCTCACACACTCTCACTTGCTCTCCTTTTCCCTATCCATCGATCCCTCCTCTCCCTCGATATTACAAGATAGAGATGAGAGAGAGAGAGTGGGGGTGAGAGAAAAATTTTATGAGGATAGATGAGTGATAAAGGGGAAAGTAAGATAGATAGGCTGATAGAGAGAGTGAGTTGAGGAAGGGATATAGGGAGGATGAGAGAGAGTGTGTAAGAGAAAGTGTGAGAGGGAGAGAGAGAGAGAGGTGTTTCTCTTCATATCTTGCTCTATTTTTTAGTGATAGAGAGGAAGGGATAGAGGCAGAAAGAGAGAGAGAGAGAGTGTGTAAGAGAAACTCTGAGAGAGATAGAGAGAGGTGTTCTTTTCATATCTTGCTCTATTTGTTATTTCTATCACTCTCTCTCTCCCTTTCTCATGCTCCCCTTCTCACTCTTCACTCTCTCTCACTCTCCTCACTCTTTTTCTTTCCCTCTAACCTCTCAATTTCTATCTTTACTTATGTCTCTCTCTCATTTTCTACCGTTATCCTTTTTCTCCCACTCTCTCACTCTTTTTGCATCCCTCCCTTCCACTTACATTCTACCTCACTCTACCTCTCTCTTTCATTCTATATCCCTCCCTCTTTCTTGCTCTTTCTCCCCCACAATCACTCTCCCTCTTTCTCCCTTATTCTCTCACTCCTCTTTCTCTATCTCACTCAATCTCACTCTTTATTTCTCTCTCTTTTGCTTTCTCCCTATCTCTCTCCTCTCCGTCTCCTTCTCCCCCTTTCTCCCCATCATTCTCTCTCCCTCTCACCTCACTAATGCTCTCTTCAGCTCAAAGAGAGAAAGTGACCCTCCATCCCTCCATATCTTTCTTTCCCTCGCTCTATTGCTATATCTCTCTATTCTCATTCTCTTTTTCAATCTGACCCCCTCTCATTCTAAATATATCTTTTACCTCCTCCTCTTTCTCTCACTCTCTCCTTTCACTCTCTCTACCTCACTATCTCTCTTTCTATCTCTTCTCTCTATCTCTTTCTCTCACTCTCTATAGCTTTATATATCTCTCTATTTCTCTACTTTCTAACTCTCTCTCTCCCCATCCATCTCTCTCTTACTCCCATTCCTTTCACCCTGCTCCTTCTGTCCCAGTCACTCTTTCTCACTCTCTCTTACTTTTAATATCTCACTCTCTCTTCCCATCTTTCTCTTATTCTCCCTTTCTCTCTCACACCTCTCTCTCTCTCTCTGGCACTCTCTGTTTCTCCTCTCTCTATTTCTCTTGATCTCTCTAGAAAGAGACAGAGAGATCGGGTGAGAAAAAAAGAGGGAGGGAACGAAAGAAGTAGAGAGCATCTTCATATTGAGAGGTCTTAGGAGAGAGAAAAGGTTAATAGATGGATGATGAGAGGGAGAGCGATCAAGAGAATTAATGAGAAGGCAGGAGAAGACAAAAGGAGATAATAAGAGAGATAGAGGGAGAGGAAGAGGGAGAAATATGAAGAAGGGAGGGAGGAAAGGGAGGATCGGAAGGTGAAGGAGGGAGAAAGAGAGAGTGGGATAGAGGTAGAGGGGGTGATAAAGAGAGACTGTGATAGAGGTAGGGAGAGTGAAAAGTGTGACATTACATGATATAGGAAGACAGAGTGAGATAGAGAGAATATTGATTTCACCCTTTTCCTCTGCTATCTTACTTCTCTTAGTCATTTTCTTTCTCTCTCAAACTATCAAACTATCTCTCCCACTATCTATTCTCTCTCCCTCACTATCTATCTCTATATCTCTCTTTCCCACTCACTTAACTCTTTATCTCTCGCTCTCTCTCTCTACACACTCCCCCACTCGCTCCTTCTCTCTCAATATGCTTCTCACTCAAATTTTCTCTCTCATGCACCCTCAGTCAATCTCTCTCTCACTGTTATCTAGCT